AACAGGGCTGACTTAAGTTTCGGTTCTTCACACTGACTTCCTAACTTCACACTGAACGCCGCATGACATACTTCGCATTAAAGCAATCGAAATCAGAATGCTAAATACAAGCGCACGCGAAAGCGTGGTGGTGGTATGCCGACAGCTTCTAGAACACGTGACTGCCACAGCAAATGTGTGTTTTACCAGTTAAGATACATATAGTATTCGTGCTTTCACCTTACTTTTATAGTAATTGGAATGCGGCTGTTTACCATCGGCATGCACATAGCACTCCCTCAAAGACATTGTGGCGACCAAGCATGTTGTAGGAAGTGGCCGTGTCACACCGGGCTTATCTGTTACGAGACAGAGGCTGCGCAGGTTTGTGCGCAGTGGTCGCCACAACATCGTGTTTGACTTGCTTGGTCCCGCGAAGGTTGTCAATGAATCGCTCTCGGTTATGGTAATAGTCACACTGTAAAAATGTTTTTTAAACCTTCAGAGTAAGTCACAGGTGACGCTGCACGTGCCGGGCGCCCAGAAAACAGCATGTGCAGAGCGCGTGAACGTGCTGAGAGTGGTGGTGGTGGTTGTGGCTAGAAGGAAGAGGAAAAAGGCACCTAATTTCTGTCTGCCTCAGGGGCGACACAGCGCCGTGCCTTATAGGTGTGGGGGTAAGGAGCGATAAAAAATAGAAGGAAATCGATGAAGAAATAGAGAGGCAAGTGACGGAAAATAGAAGGAGATAGGAGAGTGGGGAAACGGTCGAAGCAGTCCAAGCGCGGGGCACCACAATGGGAGAGCTGGCCGGCGTCAGGAGACCGTCGAGGGCGAACCAGTCGGCGGGAGCTACGTTGGCGTCGGAGATCGCGAGGGCACGTCCGTTCAGCTTGAAATGCTCCGAGCTAAACTAGTCGCTTAGTACCCCGCTTCCACTTTGTGTAGGCACAAAGTGGGAGTGCGGTACTAAGCGACTAGTTTTTGCTAGAAAGGCACGAAACGTGCGCGGCGGAGCGTTTCTTGGGCGAGGTTGGGAGGCCTATGAGCAGGCGTCGAACCTGCAGTACGACTCACGTTAAACAGCTAAACAACATGCATTGCAACGCAATAATACTTACGATAATGTGCAAGTTGCTTACCTTTCATCATATCCACTTTTTCAGGGGTGGCCTGAAGCTTCAATATGCCTGTGGATAGGCTCCGGCATGCTTGACCTGTCAAGCTGCGTTTGGCAGCTTCAGCTGTAGGCCAGAAGTGCCGGGCCAGCTTCAGGCAGAACTTGCCGTCACTTGTGTTGCGCAAGATGAGCTCCCATTTCTTTAAAGCCAGGAATATGTTTTGGCCAACTTTGACCTACATAAAAATAATCAAATATCAGTTATTTCCAGAAGATATACCCATCTATAGGCCAATAAATTAATCAGTAATAAACATTATGGCATAAACCGGCCTGCCTAGAGGTACAGAACCAGTAGAATGCAACTAGCCAACACGCGTATACAAAAGCAAGCTTCAGCAGGAAATGTTCATTGCTTGTATGCTACATGTATCAATGTAGGCATTATTTAAACAGTTTGCTGACATTTACTGTCACCTGTGCACATTGGCATGCAGCAATAAAACCATGACAATTTATGAAACATGAATATATTTTTCACTAAACAAGCACAAAGAAAAGGAGTGGAGTGAGAAATAACCTTTATACCACCCATATTTGAGGTGGTTGTACTAATTCTAATCTGAATAATACGTTTGCATTGTCACCTGGCTATCAAAACACGGTAGAGGTCAGTGGGTGCAGTGGGTGCCATCACCCTTGCCTGGCCTGCGAGTGGCTTTGCTGCTGCTGGCTGCTGCTGCTCCTGTGCGAAATTTGTTAAAAACAAAACAATGCAGATTGTGGCCAATTCCATTTCTTGAATAAAAACACACTTCAGCACATACTTCCACATTTAAACTTAGTTGAAGAAACCTTTTAAACCCTTCCAAATGGTGTAATTTAGAGAAAAAAAACTAACAATTGTTATGACCTGCTAAATGCTATTGGCAGATTTCTATTATTTTTTACTGGTATAGTCATTTCTCTGCATGTTGTTAGTGTACCTTTTGACTTAGTGTTCACAGAAGTAGGATAACATACCTGCCTAGTTCACAGAATTTGAGACTTGGAGATTTCCAAAACAGAAGTGAGGGGCGTTAATTTGCCTCGCCCTTTCCCTGCCCTCCCTTCAAAAAACATCTAAGAAAGAGGGGAGGGGGTACCGAACTGCCTCGCAAGTGCAAACAACAGTTTTGTTGTCTTACAATGGCTTATAAGCAATGCAGGATGGGTTTCCAACTACAGAAAACTCTTGGTTATAAAAATATAACGGATCAGCGAAAATATTTGTTTCACCCGAAATTAGGTACAAGATAGCTAGCAATATCGGTGTTCAAACTGAGACACATGCACGAAATGTTTGGTAATAAACAGTGGTAATAGACGCAGCTCTGGACGTGTATCGCTGGCCTCGCACTTACTTCTGAAGCATCCAGCATGCTGCTCTCAGCCATAGCTGGACAGTTTCAGTACCAGTGATCATATTACCCGTTGCGACGTGGTAAAGTGTTTGAAAAACCAAGATATCATTATCATTGTACGTTTACATTAACGAGTCCTAGATTGGTTTAGATGGGTCAAATTGGGAAGGAGTTTGTCAAATTGGCCAGATCAGGCTCAGAAATTTTGATTTCAGGGAGATCTTCCCGCCATCTGTACAATAAGAAATCAGGGACACTTGCCAATTATGGAATAAAGATATGTTACTTTTGCTATCATTTATATACAGTAACAACTCATTAGCTAGAAACTGAGAACGCTGAGCTGTTGCTGAAAACAGTTACATCAGTGACAAAAAGGTGAATACTCTGCCCACGTATGTGCCAGAAATCATACTATGCAGTACCTAGCAATGTCATTCTTCCCATACAAAAGAAATAGTTTAGGCACAAAACACTCACCGCAACGTGAAAGGCTACCGTGGCTGTGCACCAAGTGATTGTCATTATGGCCAGTACAAAAAGCGAAAGCATTGTCTGAATACATCACAAGAAAAGAAACCAAACTACTGTAATATCTCTGGCTGTGAATTTCCTAACATTAGCAGTACTAATGTAGCCTAGATTTTATTGCAATTGCGCAGCTCGGCTCAATAAAAAGATGCATGCTATCTTGTAAATAAATTGCAAAGGCGAAATTCTTTCAAAAGTCTGATGAATCATAATATAAAATGTTTACTCTGACTTAAAGCAGGGTGACCTTTGAAAGTGAATTTTAATATTCGTCTGTACAGAAGTGGCTGTACAGAAGTAGTAAAATTTGTATGATATACCAAGGGTAAATGCACATTTTTTAATATCAGCAGCAATAGAGCTCCATATTACTTTCTAATTTTGTTTAGAACGTTCAACTTTTCTACAATGTACTCTTTTATTAACAGCTGACAACTGCAGAGCATTGTAATTTTCACAAAGGTAGTTAACCTTTTACAATTGTGGAACTAAAATTGTAAATGTACAAGAAAACCAGATTTGTTATACTGCTTTACTTTTGTCTATGTATGAAAATTTCCATCTATGAATAATTTTTCATTACTAAAAAGACAAAAGCACTCGAGCTGCTGAATAAAGCTACGTACAGTTATAGAAATGCCGCTTGTTGACACACAATTTGAGAAATTGGTTTGTTGTTGTTTGATAGCTCACAAAAATGTAGATAATGCAAAAGTTACAGTAAGGGTACATGTGCATTTCCTGTCAATTTGTCAAAGAAAAAAACAAAGTATGTTCGAAAACCTCTGACAGCACGAGTGCGATATATTTTATAAAGTTCCAAAAATGATCGTGTCATAGCCAAATCCCAAAATCAATTTTTTTCACCAAAAGCAAGTCTCACCCTACCTTCACAGAACAATTATCAACAAAATGATGTACATGTTTTGCTACCTATACATTCTCAGAATGCATACACTGGTAACAAATGAGTGTAGGTTGACGAGTCATGTACTTGTAGACGCCAGTCGGGGACCACAGCTACTGCAACAATGCCGATGCATTGTGATGAACAAAACACGATTTCAGGAATAGATGTCGTCTCATCATAACCTCTTGTACAGATGCATTCAGCAAGCACTGCATAGGAACGCGTTGAATGCGTGGCTTAGCAACATCCCCTTTGTTCTCAAGCCTCAATGGCCTTTTCCTGTCAGTTTCGCTAATCTACGTCGTGTTGCGATCTCCACAATCATATGGGATTGCAACCTACTTCAGCTTTGCCAACAAGATTTACTTTCAGAATTGAAAGGTGCCCTATAAGAAGTCCTGTTTCTGTTGCCATGGCAAACTCAGTGATGGAGCACGTGAAAACATGCAGGACTTGCAGGTGAAAACTTATCGTTGACACTTTTGTAACATTAAAGAAACGGTCTGGATGCTTTCTTTGTGATAGTGATGGTGCACACCACATCAAAAGGAAAGACAATGTTGTGCCTTTTTTTGGACGTATTTGTATGCAGGACCAATAATGATAGTGAGTAAACAAATATCTGCTTCTGTTATTAATGGCTGCATTATGTCAAAGTAAACAATTTTCACCATCATTCCTAGCAAATCTCAAACTGCTTATTCGTTACTGATAAAAAAATGTTTCATAACCAATCCATTTCCGAACAAAACATGGCTTCGATGCAGCCTCAGGACCTGTATGATGATCTCAGTGCAAAGGAATTTTGCGAAGATTTCACTTTTGCAAGCCACAATATAGTGTCAATGTTTTCAACCAACCACCTCACTATTGCACATCCTTCAAGTAGATATGTACCATGTCTGAAACTTGTAGTTGTAACATGCTCACAATACCTCAGAATCTTCTTGAAAAACAAGCTGAACACTAGATAAAAATAATTGTAAACCAGTACTGCAGTAACATGACCGCTAATACTGGCTCCATGGTCCTATTTAGAAGATGTAAAAGCAGGGGACAAACACTTACGAATAGATGCATTGCAATCACTGACCCCAGAGCTAGGCAACAAGCAGGTAGCTTCAACATCGATGTCTGCAAAGAAAAATCCAATAGATGAAAGAACAATGTACTCTGGCTGTCAAAATTAAAGAAAAAGTTGACCCTCTGACATCATGGTAATGGCTATAGCTCAACCAGTGCCCGTTATGCAAGCAGCTAACATTTTTAATTACCTGCATCACGAACATCTTCAACCATTCCTACAGTAAGCCCAGTGCCTGCACAAACAGAAAAATTCAGAGACCAATGTTTTATTAAATAGGCATGTGCAGTGACAAAAAAACATTACCTGTACCCAATGAGGAAGGCAACATGAACTCTGCAATCACTTGCCCTTCCTGTCTCTCAGCCATCGCTTCAACAACCTCGAAAAAGAATAAAGCAAAAAGAGTATATATATTATTTTCTTGCCAAAATACGCCCAAATAGATCTAAATGTTATTAATGTGCCAAAACCTTGTAAAGCAGTATATAAAATTTATCAGGCTTGTCAATTACAGCTTCTGACAAATTTCATTTTGGGTCTCTTGATTGCCATAGCATATTCACGACGTGCACTACAATAGAGCACTCCAGATTAATTTCGCCACCCAGTACTCTAACATGCAGATAATCAAGATGTGCAGCTGTTTATCCATTTTGCCTCCATGAAAATGTAGCCACCATATCTAGAAATTGAAGCTCCATGGCCACAGTAGTCTGCTGCTATAATGACGAATTACGATTACAATACGATAGTGAAACAGGACGGGAACGCTTCATTACATACTGTTGAGCGATTCAATCTTCAATGCCATTGGATGCCATACCACGTGAAAAATGTTATGAGCCACTACCAGCTTTTCTGTGTGGAACTATAGTTCAACAGAACAGCAGCATCACAGCAGAGCCTTCCAGATGTCCAGTTGCAGTTGCCAATGTTGAATACATATAATAGCACCATATTAGACGTAACAAGTATGTGAACCAAGTGTGTCTTAAAAATCACAATAAACCATTGCTGCTGATTTGTCTCCCGTCTAGGCTAACTTGATCAATTACTTCTTTCTTAACAAGAGAGCAATTACCGAACGCCAATTCGCATTTAAAGAAGCAGACATGAGAGTTGGTGTAGCTCTCATGCTGCTATGTAATCAGGTCATGGGTGGAAGCATCCAAGGAGACAAACATAAAATTGTAGTGATCGGCAAAAACCAGTGACAAGCAACAGTGAAACATATCACTTGTTATTGTTGTTTGAATATCTCGTGCAGGGTGGTCACAGTTCAGCTTGCCTTGAAATTACTCTTGGCACTTTGGTTGAAAGAGATGTTTTCAGTGCTAAAACACTGCTGAGTGGCATTTTTTACAGAAACCTTCTTTTTCAACGACGTTACTAGAATCTTTTCGACAACTTTAATCAAAGCTTTGCCATGTTATGCTTAGAGAACATAGCATAGCAACATATTGGCTTTCTTGGTATGAAAGAAACGTATTGTCATTTGATGATTACAGTTGGTAAATTGTGAGAAAGCTCAAAACCTAATAAAAGTTCAATAGCCAAACAAAATAAATGATGGTCATCTATAGTGAAATACAACTCAAACATACAGATGTCTCGGCTAACAAAGAATTCTTGAAATACCGCAATAGGATTAGCTTTTCAACAGTGACGCTTTCTTTTAAAAAAATTGGTGTTGGATTGTTCTTTCTTTTTTATGCTTATTGTAAAAAAAGCAAAAGCTGGTACTGTGACACGGTAGTTACGGTGCTGAGCTGCATGACCCAAAAAATGCGGGTTCGGTCTCGGATGCAGTGGCTGCATAACCATAGAGGCGAAATGCTACAGGCTTGTGAACTATGCGATGTCGGGGCACATTACACAGCCTCAGATAATTAATTATATCTAGAGAACTCCACTGCATCTCTCAAAACTCCGGTCACTTTGCGATGTTAGACCCAATAAACATACAAAGCATGTATAAATGATGGATGAAATTCTAAAGCATGCTCCGTTAACTACTCGAATGCGAAACATTACCTTGAACACTGAAATAGCTCTAAAGATTACAATAAATACCTCATCATACAGTGAGCATGCTCTTGCACACATTGGCAGCTTACAAACTGGCGTAGTTTTTCAGACTGTTTTATTTTTGACTGGTAGGGGTAGCACTACAGTATTTTTGTGGAACATACTTTCACCAATAAACTAAACGCAAAGACGCAAAACATTCTCTGCTGCATTATATGGCAATCAGCATTATAGAACAACGAGGATAATCATCTAGACTAAATAACCTATATATGGCTTAAATCAATAAATTGTATACCGCTATCTCTTTACAATATAGAAAAAACTAAAAACAATCCTCACCAATTTTGTTGAGCATAGCGTTTGTTTGCCTTTTGTTTAGGGATGAAGCCCTAAGAAATTCTTTTCTCAACTTTTTGATTTCTTTAACTTTCGTCTCAATAATTTTTTCAGTTCTTCCACTACTACATGGGGTGGCTCATTTGGTTGTCCAATTTCCTGCAGCATAAAACAGGCTTAGAGAACTCAGTGGGCAAGAGGGTGCCTCTTCATATTATAAACATATTAGGCACTAAATGTGAGCTCAAACATCACAGCGCCAAAATAGGAAACTTGGGGATTGTATGATGTTCTTCAGACAATAAGCTGTAATTTCATAGAATATTGCATTAGTAATTGCAACAGACACCTTATGGGAATTTGAGGATCAAAAAGAAAACACAATTACTAGATTATATAGCATGACGAACTCATACCAAATATCAAAGCAATGTGGCCGATTCCTTGAATGCATGTTGTCTAAGATCCACGAACACACAGTGAACAGCCTCTACAGATCAGCCGTTAAGAAAATAGGAAATCAATCTGTCAGACTGTAAAATCTACTTTAATTCTGCTTGTTTTGTGCAATAGTGAAGACACCCTGCAGTGGGCCCCAGGGCCATACAGCAATCTGTGACGTGTCACATCGTTGTAAAAAAAAGATTTTCCGGTAGAGGCTAAATGATGATATTGTTGTACTTGATTTATGGCGCAGGCAAGGTTCTAGTTATGCATTATGCAGCAGACTTCTCGGAGCTTAGCTTGTTCGAGCAAGCTGATACGGTAAAGCTTCCTTCTTCACTGGCTGCCTTAGCAAAGCGACATCAGAAATTATCCCTCAAGAGTGAATGTCTTGAATTTTCAGTAGTCCTTTCACTTGACTAGTGTTCTGTTTTGTTCTTTTCCGTTGCTTGTGCGTCCTTGAAAATATGGTGTTTAGTCAACCCCCGTATGCATGTATACGTGACTGCCAAATTCTCAGGGAAGAGATTATACGTTTTCCCCTTGTTTTTTTGGTTTTTTTTATTAAGCAAGTGCACAGCATAACATCAACACAGTGTGGATTTAGCAATAATCTCTTGTGAGCCAGGGCAAGCACAACTAATGACAAGGAAGTTACTGTCCCAACGTAGCCCCAACTCTTCAACATCATAGACGTTGTCAGCATATTTGCACAGCGCAAGACTACGAGTAGTTACGACGTAACTACAGAAGAGACAAGGACAAGGACAGAAAGAGTGCCGTTACATTTCTAGCACGTTGGGCTCTTTTTAGTGTTTCCCTGCAGTGCTCTTTCTGTCTTTGTCTCTTCTTCTGTCGTTACGTCGTAACTACTCATAGTCTTGCGCTGGGCAAATATGTTGATTCCCAATCACCAACTAACCCAAGCATCTGTCTTACCATAGACGTAGCCCACTTTGCACGGTTTCTCTCTCCAATTTCCTGTGCTTTTATTAAAGTGGTCTTCACGCCAGCTTATCTTCCCAAAGCAGCAGCACAACATGACTTCTGAAATAATTGCCAAAGTTATGGTGAACAAACAGCATTGTTGGTTTCACATGAACCTAGGCAAAAGGCGTGAAGACAGCAATGGACAAGAGACAAACACATACAGACAAGGCACCTGGACACAGGTTAGAACAAATATTTAGCAGAGAGCCCAACGTACTGAAAACACGCTATGCTGGGGTAAAAAGGTTGTTTTTGTAGGGCATGCTCCTAGCTGGCCACCCTGATTGTATGCGTGTTTCTTTTCTGCCATCGTCCTCACGCTTTTCACCTTGGAATCTACTAAAGTTATTATTTTCAAAGCCTGCTATGGCAAGGGCACAAAATTTTATGCATGCCACAGCCCACTGTGGCCGATCATCTGGTTAAGCAGATTAAGTATGCCATGTTTCCTCTCGAGGTATGCCAAATATCTAGTGCTTATTCTTTTAGATACCTTGACTACGCTAAAGTTCCTACAGCGCTCATTAAAACGATGACGGTGACAAAAAAGGTGCATGTAGGAGCCTGTGTGAAATCACTCAATGCTTAGCTGAGAGGAAACAGAACAACAAAGTTTTTAGTGAAATGAATCACAGGACAAGGTGTGAGGAAAACAAACTACATAAAATGTTCATGACCCTGTATGCTACGTGATAAAGCCACTTAGTTAGGATAGATAAAGAAGCTCAACAAACATTTAAGTAGCCTGATACGCAAAAATTTACGTACTACTACAACTTGTGCCTCATAAGACTTGTGGTCCAGCTACGAGTATCAACTTTAAGCAACATAAGCTTTATTTATTGACACAAAAAAGTTTTCATTTATTATCCATGACAACCAACAAACGAAAGCTTTTTTAGACTTACATTAGACGTATATTTAGCGAATCCAAGTTGCCAACAGTGGCGGATTCAGAGGGGGGTAGGCACAATTATCCTTTCCAAAACCTTCCAGCAACTCCCCCTCTCTTTAGTGCTTGTATTATGCCTTCTATCACTATTCAGAACAAATTAGTGGGACCACTGTAAGCCCATACTAACGGTGTTTATGCTGACGGGGTTTTCATGCCGCTAAAGAAAAGAAGTAAGGACCTCCCTCCAGTGTTACTTTAATAGACTGCCCCCTCCCCCCCCCCCTGAAATGAGTCGCTTGATCCGCCCCTGGGTGCAAATCAAATTGCATCATACTTGGGAAACAGAGTAGCATAGTTTCCACAGCAAGCACACTCAGAAAAGATAGCAACAAGAAAAACAGGCCTGAGGAACTAGGTTCCTAATATTATAAATAATAAAACCAGTAATTAAAGAGAATACTGCAATACAGAATCGTTTTTACAAGTGTTACCCACTCACTATACAACTCAATTCTTCATTCGGTTGATAACACTAGTTTTATCTATGTAAAAAGTGAATATTTGATGCATGTTTCTTGGACATAAATGTAAAACTGCACCGAGTAACTTGTAGCAGAATGCAAAAACATATTGATCAAAGCAAGTACACACCTTCCACTCATCATCTCCTTCAGATCGAGTA